TTAATTAAAATATTTTTTTTTCCAAGCTTTCAAATATTTGGGATTAATTGCGCCAAAAAAAATACTGCAGTAGAAACACGTTTTATCGATGATGACCACAATTTGTAAATTCATCGTGACGTCGCACCGATTTAACATACTTGGTAAAAATGACAGAATTGGGGCTTTAATTTATTAGCATTTAATACCTTGCAAATAAACTCATGTATACACATATTGATATTCACGAAATTACATGAAATTTTTGTACTCAGTTATATTTTTGATATAAAATTTGAAAAACATAAAAAAAAATCGGTGTTATTTTAGCTCTAATAAAAGTACGAAATTCAAATATCGATAGCGGAGCAACCGAATAAGGTATCCCTAGTTGCTGTTTGACTTGACTAACGACAGTGTAAACTGAATAATTGCAGCCCTAGCTGTGCCGGCTAAATTTTGTTTGCTTACTGGTTTATGGAAACAAGTGCCTGTAAAAATGGGTCTTCTATCGGATCCGTCAATATCAACACATAATAAGTTGGTCGACAGTCTTGCAAAGCATATGCGCAAGCTGTGCTATGTTTTCTACACAGCGGGTGTGGCCTGGTTTATGTGCCTCGCCCTACCGGAATTCAACCATGGAACTTACTTATCAGAGAATGCCCTATCACCAGGTGCGTATACAGCTGGTTGATTCTGCTGCAGTTGTAACAATGATGATTGCAGGCTTGGTGTACCCTGAGATACGCATAGATGCCAATCGACTAGCTCTCCAGCTGCTAGAGGAGTTGCAGCGCGAACGTAAAGACCATCAGTCCACAACGCCGCACGCCTGGATTATGGCCAAGTTTAATGAGTTTGGCTTGGAGACATACACACATAACTTTACGCTACGCTATCCGTTCGGTGGCGGCAAAGAGTTCCATGGCAAGAACGTTTATGGCATATTGCGTGCACCGCGCATCGGTTCCACTGAGGGTTTAGTATTCTCGGCGCCGTATCGTCCACCAAACTCGGTGCATGACGAAATAACGGCTAGCGTGCCAGTGTTATTGGCCTTTGCCGACTTTGCCAGGCGTAAGTAGCACACAATTGGCACACAGCTAGAGTGTTGGCTTAGAGCGGTTTTCCTTTGGCAGGTAAAAATTACTGGGCCAAGGATTTGGTATTCCTGGTCACCGAGCAGGAGCAGCTGGGCATGCAGGCCTGGCTAGAGGCCTACCACGACGGCTACAAAAATTATCACAGTAGCAGTGCGTACCTGGTCGCTGGAAGCCTACCAGCACGCGCCGGCTCGCTGCAAGCAGCGTTAAACATCGAAGTGCAGGACTTGGAAGTCGGTTGGTTTTCCCATACAATTGGCATGAGCCATCATGTGCTGAATAACCGATGTGTTTTTGCAGATTATGTTGACGTCAAGGTCGAGGGATTGAATGGCAAGCTGCCCAATCTGGATATGTTCAACTTGGTGCAGCGCATCATGGCACGCGAGGGCGTCACCTCTGGGTACAAGCATGCGCCGCGCAAGAGGCGTCGCATGAACCTCTCCCCTTACGAGCAGAACTTACGCCAAATGCTGTCCATGCTGGCGACACAGGCAACGGGCGTGCCCAATGGCAATCATGGACTTTTCCATCGCTACCGCATCGATGCTCTGACCCTATCTGCTGCCAAGCGTGTTACCAACTCCAATGTCAAGTCCAATCCGAGCTCGGCGACCGTGCCCCTCTTAAAGTCTATCGAGGGCATTTCCCGCAGCCTGAACAACTTGCTGGAACGCTTCCATCAGAGTTTTTTCTTCTACGTGATTGTACACAACGATCGTTACATATCCATTGGCGACTACATGCCCGCCCTGGTGGCGCTTATCGCCTGCAGCTTCGTCAAGGCGTATTTGTCCTGGTCCACATTAGATGCCGCAGAGCGTCACGCACAGCAGGACGCAGCTGGAAATGAAACAGATCCAGTTGTGTTCTCTATGAAGCTATCGTTGCCATATGGCTTTGTGCTGGTCTATTTGGTTGTAACGCTCGTCATCGGCTACATGGGCAATGTGCTGCCGCTGCAGAAATACCTTATGGAACTGTCAATAGGCGCTGGGCCGCTTACTCTAACCATGCTGATTGCACTCAATGTGGCTGGGATTGCTCTGCCGTTCTATGTGGTGTTGCCTCCTGGCGGACTGGAGCTGCTGCACATCTGCATGCTGCTCATCTATGGCTGTGCTCTGATTGTCATTGGACTGCTCAACTTCTCGCTGGGCTTCTTGGTAGCGGCGCTGTCGGTGCCCATGGTCGTGGCCCTTAACCCAAGCAGCAGGAATGGCGCATTGCGCGGCTTGGCACGTCTGTGGGCTTTGCTACTGAATCCGATGGTGGTCATCTACACCGTCGTCCTGGTCTTGACCTTCTATGAATTTCCCGAACTGACATTCCAGCAGCTGCTGCTGCGCGCCGTCGCCGCTGTCATGGATGCGGTTACCTTTGCGCTTATTGATTCAGTGGTGAGTGCGATCGATCGGAGCACTTTCTCCAATGATTAGTTCATATTTGCGATTCATCTCTTGCAGATTTATGGCAACTGGCTATATTTTGCGGCTTGCACTGTTTTCTTTCCCCTTTGGATCATCTGTTGGACACTGGCTCTGGCAAAGCAAAGCGACAATGAGATATCCCATGCGAAGCTGAAAATAAACTGATCTGCCTCTTAGCTTTTCTTGTTTCGTGCTATGGTAACTTATAACAAATAAAATACGTTGAGCCACACGCATATATGTATAGTTAAGGAACTATTTGCCTGCCTATGTATTATTTCATGCTGAACAATGGAGTGGTATGAATATCATATATACATATACAAATATATATACATGCGAATACAAATGTTATATGTGTGGTAAAGTTCTTGCCTTAGGTATTACTTTATTTATAGTACAATAGTTAAGGCTACATTTCAGACCAACATAACTCTACCAAAAATATAACCAAAGATGGATATGTGACTACAATTTTATATCATCTCTATATCTATTACATATATCGATCAATAAATGAGTGTGTGTGTGTTTTTTTGAACAAAAATGCTAGCTTTATAATCTATTCATATATATTTTTACTTGTATTCAAAATTGAATGGAATATATTGGTCTCGTTAAGAGTTAGTTTCTTAATTTCCATTATCTATTTCTATTCTATTCTATTTCAGCAGAGACATCGAATGTCAGTTAGTATTTGTAGCGCGTATTGTATAGTCGGCTGTGCCCGGCTGTAAAGTTCTTGCCTAACTTGACTTGGATTCGTCTACAACAAATTTCATTCAATTTCGATGCAATATCAAATGATCCAATAAAAACTTTGAAATCAGGGACTTTCAGTCTAAGCCGTGACTTGACTGACAATACGTTACCTTAGGTAATTTTGTGTTGTGCTGCGTTACGTGGGAATATTTCGTTGTTGCTCTTTTCCATATTCGCATTTTTCATTTTGATATATTTGCTTACCATTCAATTTGGACAGGAAACTACCAATTAAAAGTTGGGAAATGATGTATCGCATCAACAATAAATGTAGTATATACAATTTTTTGAGAGCTTTCAAAACTATTTAGTCTGACATAGAGCTGGCAACTTTATGAGACCCTTTTATAAATTAGTATACAGCGAGCTCATTGAAAAGGCTAATTTAGGGTGGTTCGTTTCTGGATAAGAGTTTGCAATAGACAAGCGAAGGCGTGGTAGATGGAGTATAGAAAAATATATAATAATACGCATTTGTATAATAATAATATATACAGTATAATACGGCTATAACGGGCATAGAAAAATATAAAATAATACGCATATGTATGGTAAAAATATATACAGTATAATATGGGTGTAACGACGCTCAAGGGACCGTCTTTATACCCGGAAACCGTATAAGTTTGCTTTTATAAGCGGAGACGTTATAACCGGACTATACTGTATTTCCATATACCACAAGAGCTTAACATTTTTTCGATAACTCATTCATAGATAAAAATCGATCCTTTGCAAACTTGAAATCTGCTATAATGAATATACAGATAATGAGTATTTCGGATCTCATCATTCCTCTTGTAGAATGATATGGGTATCCCAGGGTAACTCTTAGTGTTCCCTTCCGGTTGGAGTACACTTGTTTTATTTTTCAACATACATAATATAAAAAGTTGGGAATCATTAGTTTATTTGAATGTGTTTTCGCTACGGTTCACACACGCGCACTCACACAGGCACACACAAGCAAGTGCGTGTGCATGTGTGTGTGTGTGCTTGTGTAATTGCGGGTGTATAAGCACATACATATAATATATACATATGTAATATATGTCTATATATATATACATATGTAATTTGACAAAGTTGATTTATTGTGGCATACGGCGATATCACGTATTCAGTTTGAAGAGCATCAATGAGGAGGGGTAGCAGGGGGGATGCCAGGGGAACTGTATGTTAAGGGTGAGGGGGCGTTAACGGAAAGTGTGCAAACTTTTTGACTATGACACGCAACTCAATTTAAAAGTTTCGAGATGCTGGCAATGCGGCGATGCGATGCGATGCGATGCGATGTGATGGAGGCGGTAATTAGTTATGAGCCGGAGCGAGAGACGTAAAACTCTACGGCTGTGGCACTGGCTGTGGCAGTAGCAGTTGGCTTCGGAGTGGGAGTGGCACTGGCTGTGGCAGTGGAAGTGGGTAGTAGTAGTAGTGTTTGCGAATGGAAGTCCAGGCCGCAACGCAAACTGTTTGCCAGCTGATGATGCTGCTGATGAAAGCAGCAGGAGGACAGATGGATGCAGAAGGGTTCGGCTGCACTTCCCATCCAGTTGATGAGCTTAACAAGAAAAGTTTGCTGCCACTGGCATCTGTATCAGAGTCAACAGCTGCGATTGGCATGGGTATGCGGATTAGGATCTGGCTAAGGTGGTTGTGTCTATGGTACAACGAGAATTTATTGATTTTTAGCGACAATTCGAATATTGTAAACCTATGCTAGATGATAAGCCAAATGGAATTGGGCATCTGCATCAGCGCTTGGCCAGGAACGACGATCCGTCGCAGTCCCCAGACGACGACCCGCGCTGCTCAAGCGGCAGGATCAGCAGCGCCTCCTGCACGCCCGACTTCTTCATGGCCTCGCTGATACATTCAAATGTTGTGATTTTGTTGCTATTCTGGGATCTGTTGATACTTAAGTTGCCGTCACTGGAGCTGTCTTGCGAATTGCTGTCATTGGAATGGCGGAAGTTGGACTCGGAGTTGGAATCGGAGGGCTCGTTGATCAGCTCGTTGCATAGGCGCTGCTTGCTGCGCTTGAGAGCGGTGTCGCAGCGCTCCATGGCCTCGCGCAGATCGTTGCGTCCCAGGTCCTCGTTGAGTGCCCCGAACAGGGAGTCCAGGGAGCGGGTTGTGGTCTCCATTTCGATTTGCTGCACGAGCGAGAGATCGCGCTGATGCTGCGAGCAGCAGATCATGTCCCGATTGAGGCTGTTGGCTTCGGCGAGCATTTGGTCGAGCAGCTGGTCGGTCTGGTAGTACTCATCCCTCAGCTCGGCAATCACGCCCAGCTCRCGGGGCGACGGCGGCGGCGGTGGCGATGGCTCCGCATCCAGTTTGCGCTGCTTCCTTGCTGTGGCCAGCGATCGCTGGGTCGTCGACCCGGGGCCAGGCTGGTTGCCCTTCGCTGACCTCTTTGCCTGACCACCAACTGCAGCCGAAGCACTCGGCTCAGTCTCGTCCTCCTTCGGATTTGGCCGCTGCTCAGCGCCGTAACTATTCAGCTGCACGCTGGAGACACTGGTCAACTGGAGGCGCTTGGCCCGCTCCACAAGACTGGCGAGTGCCTGCTCGGCCACCGTTTTCACCTGACGCTTGGAGTCACTCATCGTTCAACTGCGAATGTGTTTCCTTACCTTCCCGTTATCGAAATTGTAGCTACAGAAGAAGAACAAAAGTTTGTGTGTGTTTCGTGTTCGTTTTTGGGTAGTAAAGCGAATCCAATTTTGAAACTATGTGTAAACTATGTGTGTGATATTTGCTTCTGAAGTCTAGCCTAGCTATTTAGTCATATATTCCCCCCCAAGTTGGCCGAGAGTTTCCAGTTTTATTGAGCAATCTGTCAGGGAGCGACAGAGCAAATCTCCCCACTGACAGCTTACTTTCCTTGATTGATTACCTTGAATGATTGACTGATTTACTGTTTGAAGATCAACGAGTATGATATGAGTATGAATATGATTGAATGACTGACTGATTGACAGAGTAAATAATAGCGTGATTGATTGGCTTTGTATGGGTGAATGGTCGACTGATCGTCGCCTGACCATTTATGTGGATAAGCTGATTGATTGATTGACTGGTAGCTGAATGACAAAGTGATTTACTTGATTAAGTGAATCACAAACTTAATGATTGCTACTTTTATTTAACATCTGACTATTTGATTAACTAAATAATTGATGAAAAAAAAGAGATTGATTAATTAATTAGTTAGTCAACTTATTTATTTATTGATTGATTGAAAGACTGATTAAGTTATTCATTGTACTGAATGATTGATATTGATTGATTACTGGAATGACTGATATTGATTTATTGAATAATTGCTAGACTCAAGCAGAAAAACGGAAATGTGATTGATTGATTGACTGACGGGATTAAGATTGAAGGGCTGGGTATTAATAGTTCTTAACTACTGTAGACGATTGGGTTGGAGTTGTATTCCCCCATTCCTTCATTTTGGGTTGTCCAATTTTGACAGTTAATTGATGAAGCTTGACCCACTGTGCGACTCGTATTGTTCTTGGCGCAGCTACATATTCATTTACCAGGCGCTCATCTTATGTAAGCCAATGCCAACATCTTGTTGCTCTTGAGTTGATTTCCCTGTATGCATGCCCACACATGCATAACAAAACATGTAAGTGGACTCGTGTCGGTGGTGAGCCGACTAGCAGATACCCTAATCGCTCAAAAGAGCAAATCAAGTTAAATGATTATTATTGATAATAGAGCGATGGCTTAAGGAATCGAAGCTCTATAGCATCGTATATGAACATATGTATATATTGACTGTTTTTAGACTCACTCAGCCGTCCTGCTTATTTTGCCTTCATTCCGTCTCCTTCTGCTGTTACATACACGAACAAATTATGCCCGGAACTCATATTTGCAATGGGTTCAGGGTATAAGCAATGTCTGCTCTTGTGCGCGTGTGTATTTGTGTGAGTGTGAGTGTGTTTAAGTAATGCGTTTACATACATATGCATTGTATATGTGTGTAGCTAGTTCTTAGGGCTTTACCTCAAATTTAAATGAATGGCGAAATGAAATGGAAGTCAAACAAAATGATCGACTGGCAAATACTACGCACTTTATATACTCGCTGTGTAGGCTCATAATTTGAGTTTATGTGGGCCTCTCTGAAATTTATAATTGTCTTCCTCTATTGTCGTTGATTCATTATCGATTTTAATCGATAACAGAAAAGCACAGTGCAATGTGTGACTAACTAGTCGAACCGAGAACTTGCCCAGCTACAGGGCATACAGTTTTAGGTTAAATCCAAACGAAACCCAATAAACTAGAAAAGTAATAGGCATTAAGGATAGCAAACTATTTATGTAGCTGACAGCCTATTTGATTCTCTGACTTGGGGAAGTACTTAAATTTGGCGCATGTTCAWTTCCTTTGTCCTTTAGCTACGCAGTTGTTTAGCACATTAAGCCACTGAAACAACTAGCATATACATATGTATATACACGCACACAGAGACACACATGCACGCACATACATATATGGGGTGAGAAATGGGCCACGGCTGCTGACTGGGAATGATGGCATCTTTATATCCTTGCGTTGGAGTTGTCAGCTGTTTTTATGGCAAAGTTATGACGTGCCTCATTCAGAGGCTTACGCTGAGGCAGCAAGCAAACAGAAGGGTATAGAGTCCCGAAGCTGGTATACTCTAACCAGTGCCATAAATGCCGTAAATTCAATTTGCAATCAATCGATACTTGGACTGATAAAAGTTGTAGAAATTTTAGTTAAGTTAGTTCCTGGAAGACTATGAGATGAAGAAACTATATCTATGTATGTGCCTTTTGATATAAGGTTAAGAAATTATATCTATGTGCCTCTTGATATTCCTATATAATAAATATATACATTTTATACACGTTTTCTAGCTCTGAGTAACTGTTTGATTGATTTATTAGCATAATTATATCAGGATAATATAAATTGTATAATTATATGCGATATTTTATTGAACTGATCAGAATAATACTAAAAATTATA